TTGTTAAGACAACGTTTTCAATTCCGCAAAATACCTGAGACTGTCGAGATGGGCTGTTGTAAAGAGGTCTTTGTTTCTCGGAGTCGTCCTTAAATAATGTGTATGGTAATTTACTAGATTCGACTTAAGGTATATATGCGATCGGGAGAATGATAGTAAGTGTTTATGTTCTAGTTCTATCACTTACTTTGATGTGCGGATACTTTTTTTGGCGGAGCGCTGCCTGTGCCCCCAGTCGTTAATTACAATTTTTAGGCCTAGTATTCCGTCAGTAATACTGCACGGACGGTTTTGCTGATAGTTGTGTGGCAATAAGTTTAGGCATAGTAATACCGGGCAGCGAGTCTTTTAATTCTCGGACTCGTTTAAAGGACCCGCATAATTCCCACCAACGACTAACTTTTGCGGGCTTTACGTTAACTCCAAGTGTTTGCATCTGAGGTGGAATTTTGTGGCGTTTGGAATGTTCATTTGTCCGAATTACTTGGATTACAGGTCATGTATGAAGACATCAGAAATCCTAAACCAGTATTTAGTTAACTTTTGAAGTTTTACGGCGTTTTCCGCTATTTAATTTCGTATAGTGCTGTGATGTAAGTCGCAATGGTCATTCTCTGAAGACTTGATGACTTGCTTCACTGGGATGGATACTATTTCGTCTTAACTCCTAGGATATATAACAATGGGGTTTGATAACCGATCTATCTGCAAATGTTTATTATCACCATACAATCGGATTTTTGAATTTAAGCATTTTATATCTGGCATGGAATTATAAATTGCTTATAACTGCGTATGTACCATCAAAAACAACGACATCATTCAGATCTGATTCAATCACCATTGACGTAATTAAAAACTATACTTGAGACTCTTTTGAGAGTATGGAAAAAGTTAGTACTATCATAAATACTCCCATCCTCCTTTTTTTCCATCTTCAAGGTTCGTGTACCCAGATACATCTTGACTATGAACAGCTTTTCACAGACATCCTCTAAGCGTCCTCAAGGAACTTGCGATACTTCTGGTGAGTTTTTTCGTTCCAATTTTTTTTAATCTGTTTTTCCTCAAAGACCGTACAGGCTATTCCTCTTTTCAAAGGTTAACAGTTAAGTATTTGGGTGACAGACAGTTTAGCCTAGGGCATCAAAGTGCAACCGGTGTTGCACATCCGCCGGAAAATTCTGCTCTGTGTGCTCTAAAGCTGAAAAACTAGCAGATGCTTTCAGTATAGCTCTCCTGTTTCTTCCTTAGGGCAGGTACATGTGCGTCCGAGAGGCAAGTGCATTCGGTTTATTTGCAATTTGAATATTTAACTTATTATGTTTCGGGTTCATAACTGTTTAAATGCTCGGAAATGTCAGAATAAGAATTCCTGTAAGATATTAAAATAACTAGCTGCTTACCGTATTGTCTGTTTTAGACAATAAACGGTCATATTTCATTGCGCTTATTCGACAAAAAGAGCTTTAAATCGCTGACACAGTTTTTTTGCACTGGTTATTGCGTAACAGTGTTAACTGGTGCTGATAATGTTCTGTGAACCTGACCAACTGAGACAGCACTTCCGCTCACCATGACCCACCTTTCCAACTATTTTTTGTAGTCCCCCAGCAGTACTTCTGCGAAATCTGTGGCAAGGCATTTTTGGTCCATTCAAATCTCCAAAGGCACATCCGCTACATTCATCGAAGTAAGTTCGCTCTACAGCTGCCTCTCCTTCCCTGTTACGCCTTGTCCTGACAAATCGCCTGTTTTAGGCAATCGCCATTATCCCTGTCCCGAGTGTGGGAAGGTCCTGGTGTCCAAATCAAACCTCCAAAAGCACGAAGACTTCTACCATAAGGGTAAGATGTCCTCACAAGCGTCTTGACAACTTATTAATACCTATTTTAGGGGCTTTCAACGTCATTTTTGCCTGCCTTCTCTCTCTGCAGGAAAACGTGTCAACGAGTGTCCCATTTGTACCAAGCAGTTTGTTCGTCCCCGGGAGCTTCGCAGACACGTGCTAAATCTTCACCTGGGTGAGTCGCTGTAGCGCGTCTGTATATGTATGCGTTTATTTGTCATTCCTGCTAACTGGTCTGTTTCCCCCCTTCTCATCACCCATATATTTTCAAACCTTTACAAGGTCGTAGTAACCGCAGTTGGAGCGTTTGAGTCTCAATATGAACGTGCTGTCAACCACCAGTCTTTGTTAGTCGCAGTGTATATATCAGCAAACCTTTTTTTTTTTATTGTTATCCGTTCGTTGTCATATTAGACGAAAACCAGCTATGCCGTGAACATTCCGAGTTTTCTACTAAACTCGGGATTTTATTTATAATCTTCGTTTTTCCTAGGTTAGACCGCCCCAGAAACCGAAATGAACGTCATTAGTTAGTGCGTTCCCTTATCGGACGTTTTTCATTCAGTGGCATAATCCAAGTGTGATTGTATTTCTTGCTTCCCACCGCATCTAGTGTTACTGTTATTCACTACTTTACTAACGTAATTGTTACATTTACCACGTCACTCTTGAGCACCAGCGTGAATACCAATTCTTGTTGGCTCGCTGTCCTGTGATTTTGTTATTATTATTTGTAATTCCAGCGTGTGCCCTTTAGACTCCTGAACAAGCATAGCAGCCATGCTAAAGTTCGAGGGTTTTCCTCGGTTCCTCACCCGTTTATGATAGCTATTATTATTTTGTTACTTGCGGGCGGAATCGGCCTTGATTTGCACACTAAATAGCAGTCGGAAATCTTTCAAAAACACCTTATCACCTTAAAAGGTGATTACTTTTTCTATTCCCAATTTAATCACTAGTCCCATGGTTACACACTGGCTACCGATGCAAGAAGACTTCGTTTCTTTGTTGCTTCTGTCTTTCATCACTGCCTGCCCTCTTCTTTTACTGACTTCATACATCAAGTGAAGTTCTTTATTTTACCTTTCAGATACCAGGAAGTACCACTGCGAACTATGTAAAAAACCATTCTCCGACAAATTCAGTGCCCGGCGGCATCTTCGCGATGTCCACAAATGTAAGATTTAGACTTGTCATTGCGCACACAATGAAGTCTTCATCATTTAGTATCTTTAGCTACGAACTGCTAGACTTATTTTCAACCCTATTTCGGGTTTTTGAGATGCGACCGCCCTCACCCCCATCATCACGCTCGTCGTCGGGTTCATGATACTGGGGTTCTATTTCAGCTCCCCTCCCCACCAATCCATAGCTCATAGGTCTTTAAGGAGAAGTTGAGCATGATGGGGATTGTGAGGGCTGTATGGATATGCAGAGCAGGAGGAGATAGGGATTATGTGCCTGGAGAGTCGTCGAGCATCAGCCGTGAACGAAACCATTAGGTTTGAGACTAAGTCCTCTTGCGCTTCCCGCACATTCGCTTAAAAAGAAACCGTTTTTGACAGGACCTCTTTGTGATGAGGCCCTACAGCAGCCACAATTTTCTGTATGTCAGTCTGCATCGCAGGTTACATAGTCACCAACTGGAGGTGAATAAGCTCCCCGCAGTGTTTCTACCCATGCCATTGGACTACCTATGTGGACTCGTCGACCTGTTTTATTCATGTGATAATGCAGGCGCTCATAGTACTTTTACCTAGGTCGCTCCTCACCACGCACTCTTAGGCCAGGAGTTTTGGTGGACCTGTTCGCAACCCGGCCATCCTAATCACTACCGTTGGCACGCTTCTGAACCCAACCGCAGCATTCGGCAGTCTTTTAGAGCTCTCCACAAGGAAGCTGTCGCCTCGTGTCTCTCGGATCTACCCGTTGATGGCTCTGCCATCATGACAGACTTCCAGCGTCTTCACCAGAGAGCCATTGTCGAAGAAAAACTAAGCCACAACCCCACGGTCCTTTTAGGCGGCTATCCACCTACGATTGCGGCCTCGGAACACCAACTTCCGCGTTTCACTCGCTGTACCTTGGCTTAATTACGCAGTGGCTAATAAATGCTCTTTCGCCAATACCCACACTGGCCAACCCGTCCAAACCCGACAGCTGTCTCGACTGTGCCGTCTCTCTGCATGACTGTCAGCATCTTTTCACCTGCAGTTCCCAGCCCGGCTCCCAACTTACCCTCGCGGACCTTTGACTCAAGCCGGTCGAGGTCTCGGCTTCTCTCCGTCTTCAAACTACAACCAGTTTGGACTCCGGCGGGGACTCTTGATCCAACAAGGGCCACGACACACGCACGTCCCACGGAAACCGTAGTGTTATGGAGGTTAAACACATTTGAAGCTTAAGATTCCCACTTCGCCTTAGGAAGTTTGGTTGGTAGCTTCAGGGCTAAAACGATTCTGAAGCTCCTTACCCAAGTGACGCAATTTGATGGTAGCAAATTAGCCTTGTGATGTATCCGGCACTGCTCCTTGCCTACTGTCCTGGTTCTGTTGAACCAAAAGGGGGAGGGGGCTTTGCAGATTTGAATCATCTACCTTTTTGCATATTCATATTTTCTCTGTTTTGTCAGGCAGTAGATCTTCCATTTTCGGAATTTCAGGTTCCACAAAGCCTTCTTACGAGGGTACAGCCTCCGTGTTTCCTGCAAAAGCCGCTGTCACCTTAAAGCGCCCGCGAAGTATTCAAAACGAGAGTATGTTCATTTCTGTTTTTACCCCGTCATTTTCGATCAAAATTTTCTTAGATCTAAGATGATGTCTTCTTTTTTTCGGTGTTCTCTGTCGCTCAGTACATCTCTTGTAGCTTACTCCTATCCAAAGTAAATTTAGAAAGTGTTAAAATCGAAGGTTTAAGCCACAATAAAAGCACCATTTAGAAAGAGGTTCGTCATCTGACTTAGCTCCTGCGGTAAGTCTGTGGAGTCTGGGATCTCGTCTGATTTTTCACCCCATTAATAGCGTCACTCTTAAGAAAGGCACTGCAACCTACGAACACGGCACGCCTTGCTTGTATGTTAGTCTTATCTGTCGCTGTCTCTGATGATGGGCTCGAGTGAAAAGTTGAAACACCAGGCAGATGAAATTCCTGTTCCACTTCCGCGTTTCCTTCATCCTGTGAGGCAGAGGCTCGCGGATTGACGAACATGAACTCCCACTGTAAGCAAATGTGATTCTTCTGGGCATTACGTCTTCGTGTAGCGTCGGAACTTCTGAACTATTCCTACTATCTTAAGCATCCCTGCCTCCGTCGATTCCCTCCGATTTAAATGCGTTGCTATTTTCTGTTTCCAAGACCTCCTTAGTTCATCACGGTTGTTATTGCAATTTAGCGCAAACTCTAGAATCAATAATCAGGCATCTTTTTTCCACCGCTTTATAAATTCTTGACTGACATTGTGTGTCATTAAAATCTAGCTAATCGTACATGGTTTCCTACATTTGTAGCCTATATAGTGAAGTCAAACTCTGACATCTAATAATAAGCCAAGAAACATGCACGCAACTTGTTGCTCACTGTCAGTATCGTCGTTACTGAATAGTCTGAGGAAATGCTGCCGGACACAAACACCTAGCCTGTCTCAGAAGACGGTGTAACCACCCGCTGAGCCAAAAAATAGCAATTTCAGCGGCTCTGACACTGACATGCAATTATTTACCTAGTGTCGACAGTAGCCTCTGCGGCGGTTGCGGCTTTTATATTTGCAGCATCCCGTAGATCAGTGGTGGCTGATTTTGTTTTTAGAAAACATTTTGTACCTCTTCCTTCCCATCGATTTAACCAGTATATTGAAACATTGTTTTCCCGGAAGAAATTTGAACAAGTCGAAGATCACGAGTTGAGCAGAATTTAATGACGTCATAAATTTCGTGACCTCTAATTCATCTGCAAACGGTCATTGCTTGTAAATATAGTAAATTAACTGTCCTATTAGAAGGGTGAAGCTGCCAGGGTGTATAGTGAAGGGTAGAAGAGGGGCAGGTAATTATCACAGCTCAACTGCCTTGCTGTTATAATTACCTGCCCCCTCCTCTACCCCTTACTATGCACCCACATTTTTGTCTTAGGTTTCCCATCCTATTTATCTATTAAGCTTCATTCTTCTAATAGAACAATTAATTTACTATATTAACAAGCAATGACCGTTTGCAGATGAATTAGAGGTCA